AGCAGCGATCAGAACACAGAGTGAGCCACAGAACCACGACCTGTACAGACAGGCTTTGGAGCAGACGGGCCGGGCCTTTGGACTCGGTACTGATAATCAATAGAAAGCATAGTTTCTATGAGAGAACAGTCAATGTGAGGGACGTTGCATAACAGGAACCTCACGACAAACAAACCCACAAAACTACAGGACTGCTCTGGATGAAGAGGAGCACGTTCTTTGGTCAAAGGAGGTGAACGTGTGAAGTTCTGAGGGGGTCCGGCCCGGTTGGTGTGAGCTTGACCAGGACTGCTCCAGTGAATGCATGACAGTGAAGCACGGAGGTGGGATGATCTGGAGCTGCATGAGTGTAAACGGTGCTGGAGAGAGAGCATGTATGGATGGAACCATGAGTGTCTGTGGATAAACCACAACATGCTCCCACTCTGCAGAAGCTCGGAGGAAGAATTTCAGCACGACGATGGTCCAAAGCCCATCTAAAGCCCATTTCTACAGAAAAACAAAGTGAAGGAGAATCTCAGGCCACTCAGCTGCTCAGTCGAGGGTCTTTCAAAGAAATCCAGTAAAAGACGCCACAATTAATAGAAACTGTTTTCTAACCTCAGATTGTAAACCTGATTGTTTTTTTCCTTTCAGGACGTTACATCTTCTAACCACTGTGAATGTGACGGGGATGAGGAGTCCCTCCATTTGATCAAAATAGCTCATCTGGCCAATAAAAATGACTATTTCAAGACTTTTAACTGAGAGTTTGGTCGAGCCAGGGTCTGGGGCCACTCCGACGATATCACAGAGTGGATCAGAGTGGATCTGGTTTGATTTGATGCAGCAGGACTTGTTTAAAAATGGAATTTCAAAAGTTTATCAGAAACGGAGCAGCCTGTATTTTTAACTGTAATAATCCTGAACTGTTTTAAACTTGACATCAGAGTGCCGTAACTTAGAAATAATGCAGAGATGATTGAGAGCCCGGTTCTGAATGCTTTGACATTCAAGTGGTTCTGCTCAGACGGGTCACTCACTTCTGCTGTTTATGGAGTTCTCCATTTACAACTATAGCCAGAAAAAGTTCTTATGCAAGGTGTGTGTGTGTGTGTGTGTGTGAGAGAGTGTGCATGTGAGTGTGTGTACATGTGTGTGTGTGTGTGTGTGTGCATGTGTATGTGTGTGTTTGTTTGTGTAGGTGTGTATGTGTGTGTGTGTGCGCGTAGGTGCGTGTGTGCGGGTGTACATGCGTGTGCGTGCGTTTGTGTGTGTGTGCATGTGCGTGTGTGTGTGTGTGTATGTGAGTGTGTGTGTGTGTGTGTGTGTGTGTGCAGTGACTCAGGAGTTGCGCTGGGAGCTGAGGTGTGTCTCTGCGGAGGATGAGTGATTACAGTGGACAGTAATCCTGCAGATGGATTAGCAGGTGGTATTAGGAGAAGTGGGGGTGTAGCACACCGCCACCTCTGAACTGTCACAATATGGAGCAGCAGTTTGTTGAGGCCTCACCTCCGTCTGCTTCCCTCCAGCAGCACACGGACCGGACCCTGTAACCAACACCGTACGACTGTCAAACAGTATCGACAGGGCCGTGACCCGGTGATGGGTTAGCATCACAACAACGTGGCTGCTGCTGCTGCTGCTGTCGTACTGACAGTCTTTTGTGTCTCCACAGATGAAGTGTTGGTAGTAGCTTGATCTCTTTTTGAGAACTTTTGGACTTTAACCAGGTAACAAACAGAAGAACCTGCGCTATACCATAACATTTTAAATGATTTAAAATCATATCATGATACGATACGGTTGAAAATGAACATTTCTTCGGGGTAAAATTAAATGGTCTCCACTTATATGGTGCTTTTCTACCTTAATGGGACTAAATTCACCCATTCACACACACATTCATACACCAGTAGTGACAGAGCTGCCATACAAGCTGCTGCCTGCCATCGGGAGCAACTTCAGGTTCAGAGTCTTGCCCTGTGGAGGGGATCGAACCACCAACCTTACGATCAGAGGACAACCCGCTGTACCACCTGAGCCACAGCCGCCCCATTATTACAAGCTAACAGTTCAGATTTACTCTATTAAACATACAGGCCACACAGAAGGACCTCAGAGCAACTAAAGTCAGGAGACCCTTCCTCACTAGGGTCATGGGGGGCTGGAGCCTATCCCAGCTGACTCAGGGTGAAGGCAGGTTCACCTGGACAGGTAACCAGCCTATCACAGGGCTACACTTAGAGACAGACAACCAAGCACACTCACATTCACACCTACGGACAATTTACAATCACCAATTAACCTCAGCATGTTTCTGGACTGTGGGAGGAAGCCGGAGAACCCGGAGTGAACCCACGCTGCACGGGGAGAACATGGAGACTCCACGTAGAAAGATCCCGGGTGTCCTCATCAGGCTAGAACACATCTGTGCAGTCGTATCTTTGTTCTGTTTCATTCCTGCCTTCACTTCTGCTGTCACTTAGTTTTTACTGCACAGAAACATGATGTCGTTGTTGCAGTGAACGAGGTCAGTTATCCAGCACACATTTCTTTATTGTGATTTTAATGTTTATAGGTGGAGACCAGGCCGTGGCTCAGAGGCACAGCTGGGAGTTATGAAGATATTTGTTTCTATGATGATGATGATGATGATGATGATGATGATGAGGGGACTTTTAAAGAAATGTGAAAAGTTATCGTGTCCCTAAATAATTCTTTACATGTGCAGCTATTTACTAAATATATTCTATGGCAGGATTTCCAACATTAAATGACGACTAAATGGGAAAATGAAGCGATCACTGATGTCTGAGCCGTTTATAGTTGGTCGTTCAGCTCATAACCACTGGATCTGAGTCTAAGGTGAGTCGTGATCACCTGAGGGGTCAGAGTACGAATAGAGGCAGTGATGCAAAGCTGCAGCAGACTCTTTATTAAACTGTTGCCTCTTATTGATGCTGCAGTGACGCATGTAGACCAGGTACAGTTTGTCTGGGCCCCTCTAACAAGCTGTGCGTTTTGTTAGCTGAGTTTGCATTGGTAAAGTTTGAGGGTTAAAATCATTTGAAATGTTTAAATATTCTTTCTTTTTTTTCTTTAAATAAACACCTTGTTCCTGTTGAAGAGAGTCAAGTCTAGTTTCTGAGCCTTACATCAGTCAGATCAGGTGGGAACTTCTTCACCTCAGCTTCACATAAGTTTATTCATTACTGGTTCTCAGTGACTGATGGTCAAACTGTCTCCTCCTCCAGTGAACTCTGGATGAATTGCTGCAGTTTTGTTGATGGTGTGGATGTGAGAGTCCTGTGAGGAAAACCACCTGGACAGGTTTTTACAGCAGCAACATTTGGAAAATAGGACTAATTGATTTAAAATAATAATAATAATAAAAAAGGGTATTAGTGCAAGTTCAGGCTGAGCCAAGATGACGATCACACAAAGTTTGGAAACAGACTGACTGACAGCGTAATTTAATGTAATCTGTAGAAGTACAAGCTGCCAGTTTCTCATGTCAGAGCAACACGGCCCTGGATGGAGAAGTTTCTTTTTCTCTTGATACAGCTTCAAGAGGAATGATAAAGACAAATTGTAAAAAACCTGCAGCGTCAATCAGTTTTTCATAAATGCACATCCAGCAGCCTTTGAGCCGAGTTGCTGCTCAGTCTGTCCTGCATCTGCTCTGGGAGCTGCTTTTCCTACAGAGTCAGCAAATCCCAGGAGTTAGTCTGCTCTGACCTCTGGTGGACAAGAAGCTTCAACTGACCGGTTCATGGCTGCAGGATGTTGTTTTATACAAGTAGAGTCTGTGGGTGTGTGACTTAAATCTAACATACGTGCTGGTGTAGTTCAGTTCTTTTAAATGTGTGCTATTCTGTATTTGAGTTCAGCTCGACTGCATCAGGAGTTTATAATTAAGAAAAAAAGATGAGAAATCAAGAGCTCGTGAGCAACCACACTGTAACTCACAAAGTTCATTCAGCTTTAAATACACAAGCTCACTTCTGCCTCAGAAATGCATGTTAACTGCCTTCCAGTTGATTAAGCACTTTAAAGTAGTCAAACAGTGAAAGTAGGTGAGTTAGGTGAACTAAACTTGAAAAAACCTCCGATAATCTCAAGATATTAGCCATCGAACTCAGCACAAAGACAATCTGTGAGGCTTCCTCCAGGTACAAAGAGATTAACTACAAGTCTGCAGGGACTGAATTCAATACTAACCTTTGTCATGATTACAGCTGTGCAGAATATTATGAGAAAAAACAATCAGAATTTAACAAAGACACACGTCTGAGTCTGTGGGAGGGTTTATCTCTAACAGTGCATCATGGGAAGTCCATTGATATTCTACATTTGTTTCTTTTGAACTAAATTAAATGTGTAAAGTGAACTCTTCAACGTTCATTCATTCAACTCATCATTTCAAGTCAAAATACTTCCAAGTTTTTAGGTGGCCTACCAAATGGGTCAGATTTTTTATTTCTTTTTAAAGTTCAATCAACTAGAAATGAGCAAAACTCATATATTTGTAATAAGTGAACCAAAAAGTTAATTTGGCTGATTTAGTTTCTGATGTTTTACATTTCTTAGAAGCAGAACTCTTCCTTCACGTTTTAAACAGAAGTGTTGTTGTTTTTATTGAGTCTGTAACGCGCAGCACCGCCAGATGGCAGCAGTGAGCCCGTGCCACGTTGACTCTGCCACCAATAACAACACGAAGAAGAACAGGCCTGTGCTGCGTTCGGGAACCTCTGAGAAGGTGGGAAAGTAGAGATACAGTCAGAAATCATAACTACTTTGACGCTACGAAGCCAAATTATCTTTCTTTTAAACTCAAAACCGATTCTTTACCTGATTGTGTAGCAGGGTGGGAGGCTTGTTCTTCATAACCAGCCCACACTGAGCTACATCTCAGCGACATAATGACAGAATCAGTCACAAGGAGGAAAAAATAAATCTGAAACGAATTTGATAAAAATGTAGGTGAGTTCTTAATTTATTTAAACATACTTTTTGTCTGAGAAAATCACATATTCTCCCGCTAACAAGCACTGAATGCCATATTTCCTATAACCGTGAATGCAGCTCCGGCCAAACCCGGATGTTTTGCTTCAGTCGGTCCAGCTCTGAATGTGGACCGGAGGTTCAGAGAGTCAGTGTTTGTCAAATAAAATCATAATTACAGCCAAATCAAGAGTTTAGCAGCTTGTCAGTGGTGTTAGCTGTATTGTGAAGCTAGCAACAGGTCATTTATTTAGTGGTTGAAGCTCCTCGAGTGGAAACAGAACAACATGACCAGGCGGGACTCCGGACGCCTCTCATCGGCTCAGTGAGTCCAGTCGCTCCCGCAGGATGCTCCGGGAGTCGTATCCCTTCGTGGAGGACAGCTTCAGCCGCTTCCCGTCGCAGAGCAACATCTACGGGCTGTGTCAGGCCGGGGAGCAGGAGCTGCTGGCGGCCACGCTCAAAGGAAAGGTGGTGTGCTTCCGGTACCAGGAGCTGCAGCAGAAGGTCCGACCTGTGGCCAAAGAGGTCCAGTTCACCTACATACCGGGTACCGCTTGTTTTCTCTGTTTCACCTGCTCTGTGTCCTGCAGTCTGACTGGTCCAGTTCGCCCAGAGCCCACCTGGTTCCAGCCCCTGGACTCTGACTGCATCAAAATGTTCTTGATTTAATTTATGAAGCTGATTAAAAAACATTATTGCCAATAATAAAATTACAGATCAAGATAATTTATTTTGTTTGAATCTAAAACCTGCTTTCTAAATATAAACTAGGATATTATTTCATATTATTTCATATCAATAAATATAAAAAAAGCAAAACAAAATTCACAAACACTTACGAAAATCACAATCATTGTAATTACTGTACAGCCTGAATCAGGGGTGAATGGATGAGCCTAAAGTCTGTGGAGATGGAGCCAACGATACCATAATTATATGGATCATATAATATGTGTGCTACCATGTTTAACGTTCACCATTAATTAGGCCGACAGGATGTAAAGTTCATCTGATGGATTTGTTGTCTATACATACTGGTCAAGAGGAGATATTAATCAGTCTGTATGTGTTTTAAAAATCATTAAAAAATAAACTAAAGTTATTATGAACAGGTTTAAAATAAATGACATTTTAAATATTAGTGTTTGTTAGAAAAATGTGTTTAATATCCTGAGAATATGTCGTTTCTTCTATATGTTTTTTTTTTTAATGTAATGAGCTGCAGTGTTGGAGCCGATCACCAGCGCTCAGGGATTATTGTTCACATCACATCGACTCATCTTTATATTGAGCTTGACCTTTATCCACTGTTACTGACGGCAGGAATCATTTCCCAACAGTTTTTAATGTCTAGTTGAGTCAGAGATTGCTTCATGAGTTCTAATCCATTAAACAAATGTTATTTTAATGAGATGTTTTTATTTGAAGTAAACGTTCGTGCTGTCGGTGGTGTGCTGAGATCTGATCGTGTCTTCTTTGTGCAGTTGATGCAGAGATCGTATCAATTGATGCCTTCAACAAGTCTCCACCCAAAAGAGGCCTGGTGGTGGGCATCACCTTCATAAAGGTATCCACCCACTCCACCTGGAGTCAGCACATGTGTGAATCTAATAATACTACAGTAACTAATGTGTGACCTCCTGCAGGACTCTGGTGACAAAGCCACTCCCTTCCTGAACATCTACTGTGACTATGAGCCCGGCTCTGAGTTCAACCTGGAGTCTATTGCACGTGAGTGAAGCGATGCCCAGATGTTACGGTGTTCTCTCTGACAGCTGTTTCACGAGCTGATGTCGGTGTTTCTCTGAACAGAAAGCTGCCTGAACCTGGAGCTGCAGTTCACGCCCTTCCAGCTCTACCACACAGAGTAAGTGTGAAGGACAAGTGGAGTTCATGCTGAGTTTGGTTGTCCTGTTAAAAATAGTACATTTTTACCCACGGTGAAGTTGTCAAATAACATAAGAGAGAAAAAGTGTTGATACATGACGATGACTTCTGATTTGTCTGAGCTTCACTCTAGACTCAGACTCTGAGGTGACTGTGAGCTGAACATGTTGTGTTGACGTTATGATATAACAGTCAGTCGGCCCGCCGTCAGGTCCAGTGTTTATTTCCTTTTCCATGTTTCCAGTCCTCCTCTCTGCAGCCACAGCACACATGATGAGCTTCTGTGATTATTCACTGTAATACATTAAGAAAAACACGATTACAGGCGACATGATTCCAGCTCCAGTTAAATGTTAAAGTTAAATGTCAAGCACAGATTGAATCTTGTAAAATATTTCTAACATACTGCTGCTGCTGCATTTGGTAACGGTGTTAGTTTCACGTCTGACATTCTGTTGTTGTGATGAATCATTAAGTGTTGCTGCTGCAGTGACTCAAATTCTCAAACAGAATCGATACCGTTTGACTCGTCATGAACGGGTTTTATTTTCTTTACGGCTCTGATGTTGTCTGTGAGTCTGACTGAACACATGTGGACAGTAAATGTCAGTGAACTTCTGTCCCTCCCCCAGAGTGCAGTGTGCCGACGGAGGCAGCGAGACAGTGTTCCTGCTCAGCGGACACGACCAGCGGATCCACCTGTACCACGAGGTCAGGTCACAGCCTGCATGTGCTCTTGTTTCAGTTCCTTCAGTGACGCTTTTCAAATGCAGCTATTGGGATTAAATTACTCAACACAATTTTTCTAATTACGTTGACTGTATTTGTGAAGGGATAGCTCTACAGTTTTTACACGGCAGTCCAACATACTGGCCATTCAGAGCCCAGTGGAGCAGAGCCTCTGCTGTGCTGAAAGGAGCCAGCAGAGGTAGTCTGATGAGAGGTTTTTCAGGACTGTCCAAATGGTCGGAGACTCAGAACACACTGAAGAGATTGTATACTTCATCTGGCATGAGAACATCTCAGGAACCTCCAGGACGAGCTGGACAGCGTTGCTCGTGAGAGGGACGTCTGGACCGACGTGCTGATCCTGCTGCCGCCATCGCCTGACTCCAGAAAGGCAGCAGGAAATGAATGTGCTTCAATCCTCTCTGTAGTGGCAATTTTTCAATGTCCTTTAATTGCCGTTGCTGCACAGGTGGAGCAGAGTGAACCGCCGCAGATCAAAAAATAGAATCTCAGAATTCTCTTATGGTGAATCTGGTGTCTGTGCTGGTTTGATGCTGGTCTGGTGAGAACTATTGGCTCTCCCCCGACCTGTGCCGTCCTCTTTCTGTCACCTGTCCAGTTACCGCCACCATGTGTCTAGACAATCCACATCAAACTACCTGCCAACAGCAAACATAAATGGCTCTTACACTGTCTGTTAAACTATATTCCTAACTTCATGTGAAAGTAGCACAAAGCTTCAGGCTCGTCGTCGGCCACACCAAGTGGACGTCATCCAGACTCCCTCTGTGTGAAGCTCCACTGCCGCTCAGCACGGACGCTCTGAGGAAACACGAGAGGGAGTTTTGGACTAAAAAGACTAACTTTGGATTTGTCTCAGTCAGACTGCTGAAGGCTCATACGAGCAGAGAACAGGGAGTGCAGAGCTTGTTCTCCTTCACGTTACAGAGAGATCTTGTAACGGACAGAACCAGCAGGAGGAGGATCAGAGCGAGTCGGTCCTGGTCCAGTGTTCATGGGGACACAGTAGTTATTTAAAGACACACTTGAAAAGCTGTAAACCGAGTGTTTCATTTAATCTCATGTTTGTGGTATGATTTCCTGCTTCGATTCAGTCCCATTGCACATTTGTCATGTTTGGATTTAAGATAAATAAATGTTTTAAGAGAAAGCCCAGCTGGTATGGAAATGCTCATTTTTAAATTTCCTCTCTTTAAGCATTAAAAGTTCAGTTTCAGAATGTGTCCATGACCTGCTGACGACGGGATTCATTGGTTTTGTCGAATAGAAGACTCGAGTATTAAAAGCTGCAGGAAGGATTTTCTTTCTAGCAGAGAGATGAAACAGAACCGTGATGAGTTCTGCATATCTGTGGCAGACATTTACTTTGATTCATCATGCAAACATCAGAGCATCATTCAGCGTGACTCTCTGTCTCCAACAGAATGCCTCCCTGCACCAGTTTGAAGAGCAGCCAGTGGAGAGACTCTTCCCTGAACTGCAGCAGCTCCCCAGCAAGTGAGTTACTCAGAGTCGCTTCAGTGCTGCTCGCTCTGTTTGTGGCTTTGTGTTGGATTGTGTGTGATGAGGGACCATCTATACACCGCTTAGTCCTCACTAGAGGCTGGAGTCTATCCCTGCAGATCCCCACAACCTTCTACAGGACCAAGTGGCCACAGTTAATGGATTACCACATAAAAATAAGGAGCCACACAAGCAGCTGCAAGGTGTCTCAGTGGTTAGCACCGTGGCCTCACAGCTAGAAGGTCGCCGGTTGGCGTCCCGGTGAGGACACCCGGGATCTTCCTGCGTGGAGTCTCCATGTTCTCCCCGTGCAGCGTGGGTTCTCTCCGGGTTCTCCGGCTTCCTCCCACAGTCCAGAAACATGCTGAGGTTAATTGGTGATTGTAAATTGTCCGTAGGTGTGAATGTGAGTGTGCTTGGTTGTCTGTCTCTAAGTGTAGCCCTGTGATAGACTGGTTACCTGTCCAGGTGAACCTGCCTTCACCCTGAGTCAGCTGGGATAGACTCCGCCCCCCACCACCCTAGTGAGGATGAGGTGGTGTTCGGTTGATGGATGGAGAAAACAGACTAAATACATTTTTATTAATTCTTGTTGAAAACCTGCAGTCAGTAAAAATTCTCAAAGTGGCAAAAAAAAGATTTTTTTATTCAAGATGGCAGCAAAACATCTTGTCTTGTGTCAGTTAACAAACACAGTCAGCACCTCCTGATCCACAATCCTCTGTGTCTCCTTTTCCTCCATGCAGCGTGCTCTGGTTGGATATGTTGAGTATCGCTGGCGGCCGGCGACTCTCAGCGTTCGGTTGTCAGAACGGCTGTCTTGGACTGGCTCTGGTCAACCAGACTGGACCAGGTGAGGGACTCCAAACACACAATAATGATTCAGAGAGGTTCAGCTCTGTCACATGACTGTCTGATGACTGACGACTTGCTCCTTTGTGTGCCGTTTTATTTTTTTAACCCCAACTCTCTCATGTCTGTTCAAGTCAGATTGTCAGTGAGTTGCCGCCGAGTCACTCATTCACAATTTATGCTCATGAATCTGATGCAAATGGTTTTTAAATGTACAATAACGTGATTCTTTTTTTAAAAGAAATATCCTGATTTTAAGCTTAGCTGTGGTTGTTTTTCCTTTGGGACTACTTCAGGAAAGTTAACCATCATTTCTGGGGTTTTTCTCCGTTTCTGTTCTGTGTGAATGACGACGCTGCAGTAATCCTGTAGAGCACTGTCTGCTCCTGTGTGTTGTAAGAATAATGTGTGTTTTAATCAGAGGTTCTGCAGAGCTGGCGGGTCCAGTTTGACAGTCCAATCTCTACAGTGCTGCTGTTCCCGCTCCGCTGCCAAACTGAGTGCAACCAGCCCGGAGGAGAGAAAAGTATGTCCAGTTTCCTTATTTCTCCTCTTCTGAAGCTGCCATATAGTTCAAGATTCTCTGTTTTCCAGGTGTGGAAGCTGAAGGTTACAACCTCCTGGTAACCAGCACCATAGAGATGGCCGTCATCTACAGGTCAGACTTCTGTGTTCTGCAGTTTCATGTAGACTCTGTTGCTTTCAAGATAAACCAAACAAACTGTTGTGTGTGTGTTTGACCAGAGATGTCCAGGAGCGTGGTTTGTCCTGGTCTACCTGCCTCTCAGAGAGTGACCAGTGGGACGCAGTGCTGTGTGCTCTGGTCATTGACCTGGACTTTGACGGGCAGAAGGAGGTGCTGCTGGGAACATATGGGCAGGTGAGAGCACCTCTATGCTAATGGATGGATGGATGGATGGATGGATGGATGGATGGATGGATGGATGGATGGGTGGGTGGGTGATACTCTGGTTTGTGTTGATCCGTCTGTCTGTGCTGTCCATCCTCCTCTCCCTGGTCGAAGCTCCAAGCCTGTCAGCTCCTACTGAAAGAACGTTTTGCCCACAGTGTGACCTGCTGGTGTGTTTTTATTAGCTTGTGGACAACACTGGAAGTCAGTGACTCAGAGGAATAAATGATGTTCACACATGATGTTGTTCACAGGAAACACTCTTTTTTGTGAGTTGTTTTTTTTTTTGGAACAGCAGACCTCCACATGAATTAGATGACATGAACAAAAGGTGTGGAGCCGGTGACTTTGACAGACAGGACATGTTCGGTGTCACCTTCACTCGTCTGATAAGAACGGCTGAATGAGGCGGTGAGATCTGGACGATAACCCTCTTCTCCATCTTTCTTTAATGCAGGAACTTCTGTGTTACAAGTTCCAGCCGGCAGGGAGCAGACGAGACGGACAGTTTCAGCTGCAGTGGAGGCGGAGCTTCAAGAGCCCCTTGCTGTCCATCATCTACCTGGACCTGACTGGGGACGGTCTGAGAGAGCTGGCCGTCCTCACGCTGAAGGGGCTGCACATCCTGCAGGTGTGGATCAGGAATCTGTGTGACAGTGAGCTCTCTGGATCAGGAGCTCTGCTGCTTTTCTACGTGACAGCGAAACACATAGCTCTTCATCAAACTTGCTCATCAACTGGCAGAATATGTTGTTTGAACTGAAGAAGTAAAAGCTGCTTGCTGACCTCTACTGGTCAACAGCAGGAACTGCAAAATACAATTTTAGAAGCTCTTAACCCCATTAATACAAAAGGCATATGTAAAGTTATTTCTGCTATGGACATAATGACAAATACTTTATAAATATGTTTTTTTTCATTATATTTGTGCCGATAAAATGAGATTGTTCAGCCCTTTTTTGAACGTTCTCTATCAGAGAACAGCTCACAAACAAACCCAACCTGATACTGGTGAACATCTCCCTTCGCCTGGTGTTCAGCTTCACTGTCACTCATCGACAACCAGCAGCACGTTTACTGGCTCACATACTGCATCTCGTTTGCTTTCGTGTTATTTGACTCCTCTTTCTCTCTCCAGCACAGTCTTACCAGCACCGCTCATCTGGTCCTAGAGCGGCTCGCCCAGAGGGTGTCGGCGCTGACCGCCGGCTCCGAGCTGGAATCAGCCAAAGCTCAGAAGGCCGAGGAGAACGACGTCCCAGCTCAGAAACAGGACTGCACGACTCAGGCGCCATCAAATTAACAGAAATATGGCAGTTTGCTTCCACATGTACGCCCCGGTGGCTCAGACTGTTTCAAGTGTTTGTCTTAATTAAAGGTGCGATGTGAAGGATCTTCTCAGCGGTTTGCATTCCTGATGAGTTCAATGTGCTGATGGTGACCAACAGTAGTTAGAAAACCAGACTATTCAAAAGTGAGCACTGTGCTTTTGAGTTTAAATGTGGCTAATAGTGAATAAAAAATGTAAGAATAAGCTGATTCTCATCCTGGCTGATTATTGCCTCTGTGGCATCACGTACGAGGTTCATTCAGAAGGTTCTCAGCCTCACCCAGAAATGCCAAAAAGTTGTTCTTGCGTTTTATTTTTCAACGTAATCTCCTTTAGCTTCAGTGCACTGGTCCACTGATGTTCACCATCTCTTCCTGGAAGGTCACATCTTGAGCCTCCAGATGCTCCTCAGCATCAGGGATGACTACATCATCATTGTGAGAACGGCTACCCAAGGAGGGTTTCAGTTTGGGAAGCAGAAACCAGACGGTGACGGGTGGACTGAGGAAGGTACATGGGGCAACAGTTCAAAGCCACATCTGGCTTCTTCGGCCACCAGCGCTGTGTGGACGGACTCATTGTCCTGGAGCCACAGCAGCCAGCTTCAAGCTCTCCTCCCCTTTTTTCCTTAAATGCTTCAAACAGTTTTTGTGGATGAGATGTGAGGCTTCATGTTATACAGTTACCACCCCTTGTTTACGGGTGAGGATCAGAGCATGTTTTTAAAGTGCACTCATGATGTCCCTCCTGCAGCGCGAACCGTCTGGTCACATGTCACCAGTAATAGTCAATAGTCACTGTTGAAAAGTTATCATTAAATTTAACTGATGGAAAACAAATAAACGACGGCATTTTAACCGAATTTTGTGTTTGTTTGTGTTATTCAGAGTTTTGACACCAACACTTTTATTTGCTGCAAACGTGGATCAGTTCTAAATGCCAGACGTGGTTCTGCTTCGGATTCTGAGGGTTTAACGTTTATCTGATGATGTTAAAATCTGAGCTTGTGCAAGAAAGACATGAATGTTGTTCACAGGACGTCTGTACTGTTTTTGTCATCATTCTGAGCTGCTGTGTGTGAGCTCTCAGGAGCGAGCACATGGTTGTGATGCAGAAACAGGATTGCATCCAAACGTTCTGGTGGAATGTTCGATCTCTTCCTGTACGTGGCCTCCACTGCATCCTGCACAGAGCGACCAACTCCCGCCGGGGCAGCCAGGTAGGCCCGTGCCACTGTGGCCAACAGCCGAAACTGCTCTGCCCTCGTCCTCCACTACTCAGTGAAGCCCCCCTGTCAGCTCCGAAGACGGAGATCTCCATGTCAATAGACTCCTCCAGTGAGGGCTGCTTGCTCCTGGGAGCAGAGCAGGCCTCCCAGGAGGAGCTCCATACCAGAGCTCACCCTGACAGCCTGGATCTGCTGACTCGCTCTCCTCTGCCTCTCCTGAGTCGCTCTCCTCATCTTCAGTCTCTCTGAAGTCAGATTGAGATTCTTTGAGGCGTTTGCTCCCCTGCAGGTTGTCGCTCTTTGATTCTGATGAACCAGGCTGCTCTTGCTCTGGCTGTGCTTCGTAGCTGGGCTTCGTCTCCCTTCCCCCTTCACGATCCTCAGTCTCTCTCTTCAGCCAGTCAGAAGTGACCGTCTGCTC